TTCAAACCCACCAGCCACTCCTCGGAAGGAAGGTTGGGCAATCCTACTTCTGTAGTGATACTGCCTCAGAAACCCAAGGAGGGGTCGCTATGAGTCGGGCCGACTCGATGGCAAACAACGACAACAACAAATGTTACTAATTATATGTAAACAAATGTTACTCAGTTTTTCAGTTAGCTAAAAATAAAAATAATAGTACATCTTCGAAGACCTTAGCTAGTTAAGGCTTTACTTGCTGTGTGTCAGCAATGACAATGTAATAAAAAGAAAATAATAACAAAAGTACTCCAAATCCCATTCTAAAGAAAGGTGATCCCACAGAATGTGGAAATTATAGAATAATATCATTAATATCACATGGAAGTAAGATCTTACTGAAGATAATTCAAAAACAATTGCAGCAATATATTGACAGAACTTCCAGAGGTGCAAGATGGATTCAGAAGAGGACATGGAACAAGGGATATCATAGCTGCTGTCAGTTCGATCTTGGTTCAAGGCAAAGAATACCAGAAAGATATTTATTTGTGTCTTATTGACTATGCAAAGGCATTTGATTGTGTGGATCATGACAAATGGTGGATAACATTGAAAAGAATGGGAATTCCCAAACACTTAATAGTCTTCATGAGGAACCTGTACCTTAACCAGGAGGCTGTTGTTCAAACAGAACAAGGGGATACTGCATGGTTTAAAATCAAGAAGGAAGTGTGTCAGGGTTGTATCCTTTCCCCATACTTATTCAATCTATATGCTGAGCAAATAATCCGAAAACTGGACTATATGAAGAAGAACATGGCATCAGGATTGGAGGAAGAATCATTAACAAGCTGTGATACACTGAGGACACAATTTTGCTTGCTGAAAGTGAGGATGACTTGAGGCACTTACTGATGAAGATTGAAGAATACAGTCTGCAGTATGGATTGCATCTCAATATAAAGAAAACACAAATCCTCACAACTGGACCTGTAAGCAGCATCATGATAAATGGAGAAAAGCTTGAGATTGTCAAAGACTTCACTTTGCTTGGTTCTACAATTGTCTCCAATGGAAGCAGCAGTCGGAACATTAGATGACATATAGCACTGGGCAAGTCAGCTGTAACGGAATTATTTCAAGTGTTGAGGAGCCAGGATGTCTCCTTGAGGACTAAGGTGCGCCTGACACAAGCCATGTTATTTTCAGTCGCCTCATATGCGTGTGAGAGGTGGACAATGAATAAGGAAGACCGAAGAAGAGTTGATGCTTTTGAGTTGTGGTGCTGGCAAAGAATGCTGAAAGTACCATGGACTGCTAAAAGAACTAACAGATCTGTCCTGGAGGAAGTGCAGCCAAAATGCTCCTTGGAAGCAAGAATGGCCAGACTTCATCTCACCTACTTTGGTCATGTTGTAAGAAGGGACCATTTCCTGGAGAAGGATGTCATGCTTGGTAAGGTGGAGGGTCAACAAAAGAGGGGAAGGCCTTCAACGAGATGGATGGACATGGTGGCTGTGACAATGGGCTCAAGTATAGCAGGGATCATGGAGCTGGCGTGGGATCGGGCAGTGTTTGGTTCTGCTGTGCATGGGGTCGCTGTGAGTCAGAAACGACTGGCCAGCACCTGACAACTCCAAATCTCTCTACTTCTTTCTGGGTCCCCCCCCCCTTTTTCCTTTTTAAGTATTAACTTCCCTGTGAGCAGTTTTTAAAAGATTAACTTGCAGAATAAGGGGAAATGTGGTTCTATCCACAATAAGCAACAAAGGTTCCCCAAACCCTTTTTTTTTTTTTTTTTTTGTCTTTCAGGGGCTTCCTCTAAAGTTGTCAGACTAGAGGCCAAAGCTAACTAGTGTGAGCTTCACCTGCTGCATGTTTGTAACTGGTGACTTATTTTTGGCAAGTTGGATGAGAGAGCATGTATCACAGCATTATATAACCTGTCACAGTTTCTGATTTCCTTTCTAGGTATCAGTCAGTACCAGGGGCTTTTCTTGGCTCCATTTATACCCACCTTGATTTGTCCTCATCCCTCAGAAGAAATGTGTACACACACAATATAACCCTTTTCCAGTGGTAACTGGTCTGGTAAATTTTGTTCAAATAGAAAAGTCCTTTGAGAAACTACCAGTTTGCGGCCTTTTAACATTTAGCTTTTGTTTAGCCATCTTCCCATTCTCTGTTGTGTCTTCACAGATCTTTCCCGGGAAATATGGCAAAAGGAGCTTGAGTAGATAAAACACTCCAATCAATATCTGTGTGTGTTTGACGCTATAATTTAAAGCAAACACATTGTTTGAAACTGGGCAATATTAAAATGGTTACATAAACTATTTTTAACTATTTAAGTCAGTGTAGTCCATGATTTTCCATGCTGGCTAATATTATATGTAATTGAAAGATGGCCATAAGAATTCAGTAATGCCTTATGCAGAGGTCAAGATGGAGTCTCTATATTCGTTGCATAAATTTAGTAATTTTTTTAGTATACCATGGAGATTAGTTCTGTGATGTACTAAAAATTAAATGTACATTAAAATTAATCTTTCTGAAGCATAATTACTATCATATTCTTTCAAATTCAGGAACCTTGACTAGATAAGGCCTTGTCTTGTAGATAAAATCTAATTCCCTTGGCCTCTGATCACCAGGTTGAATCTCCATCCTCTGATGAGAAACTCACTTTAAATAGCTAGGTTATAACAGTATCGAAGTGGTCGTGAGTCCTAAAGACTCAAGTTTTGGTCTGGCTTAGATTCAGCCCCAACACTGACATGTT